ATATGGTAACTATTCTCATTGTCCCACAATATTACCATCGTCCACACTATTTGATGGTTGTTGATTGCCAGTAGCGATGTCATAAGATGGTGGTTGGATAGATGAAGTCGTAATGTTCGTTCCAACATTCCCCGGATTTCCACCTTCGTTACGAGGCATAGATGGAGGGAGATTCCGAATGTGTACGATTTCTTCGATTGCTTTGCCTATAAAAAAATAATCATTAGTATTAGTCGCTGAAATTATTAATCATGATAACCCCTTGTACTTATCTTCTGGTTAGGTTAATTTCAAAATGAATTAATAATGACCCTTATCCCTGAATTTCAACTGAAAGGCAAATCGATCATCGGATTAGCGAGATCTGCTACAATACAAACCCCACAACACTACTATATGCTGGAAATTTCGAGAGTAAATGCCCTTCATTTCTAACTTCGTTCGTCATTCCTATAATGAACCAGCCCACCTTTTCTATTATTGCGTAATTCGAATTTTTTGATGATCGGCGTTACAAATTGTATTTGAAATTTCAGTAATCGACCACGTAGGATGACTCCAGCGAAATTGTTTCGAATTATGAACCCTGTAAAGAAGTAACTAGAAAGAAGTCATTAATACGTAATTGCAATAAAGTTGATTAATCTTCTACGATGATTAGTAATGAAAATCAGCGATCCCTGAATATTTCAACTGAATAGCAACAGATTAACGAATCATAAGCAACGAACATATAATACAAACCCACAATGCGAAATAAAAATAACGCCAATGCGATATACCTCATTTTTATATGTTTTGTGGCAATTCCCGCACTCCAAGTAATGGATTCGGAATTTTTGCGATCATGTAAAGAAACTCCGGCGTAATTGTTTCTAATTATAGACCCTGTAAAGAAAGTCATGAATATGCAATTGCGAATAATAAAGATCAAAGAATTTATCCTTTGTGTTTGTTTATCTTTAGCCCCCATAATTATTAATAATGAAACTCGAAATCCCTGAATTTTTCAGCTGAAAAGGCAAATCTGATTAACGGATTAATATAAGTCCACAGCCACATGTAAAAAATGATTTTCGCGCAATAAAGATATTACTTTATTAAAATTTGCAGTAATAAAAATCACAAGTCTGTAATATATGATAATTAACATAATCTAACTCATACGGGTAACTTATCACCGGGAACTCAAGTCAATTTCCAATGCGTATTGCTTAACACGATTAGTAATCCAACGTGGTATCAGTTTAGCAACAGTTTTGCCGGTAGTATGAAAGTGTTGTGCTTGGTAATTATCGTATAAATCTTTTGGTAGAACAAAATAAAAATATATATGATTTGTTCCCGACTTTCCACCCAATTTTTCAACAAGCTTTTTCAAGCCACTCATATTAATAGGATGACTCTTGCTCACGGTCATCTGAAAGAGTGTGTTGGGTGCAACAACTGCATCAATGGATGTAAAATTCTTTTGAATCGGTTGACAGTACTTGCCATCCTCGATCTTATTAATGTCATTGAACACCAACTTAATTCGTTCTGGAATAACAATTGTAGAACTTATGAAATCGGATTCTAAAGGACGAATATTAAATGACCCTCCCTTTTGTAAAATTCGATGTGCGATCTGTTCGAATATGACGCCTCGAAGCGTACTGTATTCATTTTCCGACGAGCTTGCTGTCACAAAATTCCTTAACTGTTGACTGTAATTACTTTCGAGTCTGTTCATCACTTTTTCAGCCACCCATTCAGACGCAAATAGTATAAATTTTTGAATGTAGAATATCTCTTCACCCTCTTCGTTCATTTCTTCCTCCTCACTGGGTAGATTCGTGTGAATATGAATGATCCTGTGACTGACATCATTGGCGTGGTCAATTTCTCCAACAAATTCAAATAATTTCCAATTACTCTTGCTAATTGCATCTTCGAGATGATTTTGCTGAGAGGAATCTAGAGATTTTTCTAGGATGAATCGAGGAATCCCTCCCCAACGTGAGTACAAATCCTCGACCTTCGCTTCTTCGAGATGATTGAACATACCGATCCTACATTCGTTGACCTCGTTCCATGACCATACCGGCATAAATCGTATTGTTGTTCCCACCATCTTATCAAATTCCTTGTAATGTTGTTTTTGGGGAGAACATAAAAGAATCGTCTTAGCATGAACTTTGAGTGGTGGTTGACCATCTACAATATACCAGACATCTGTATTATCCAAGTATTCTTTAAAGTCAGCGATATTATCACTACAGAAGGTATGTTGCTTGTTGAAGAGAATTGGATATTGACAAGCTTGGTGGTACACAATGGTTTTCTTTTGTTTCGAAAGCAAATGAAGTAGGTATAATCCGAAAAAAGTTTTGCCAATTCCGGGATTACCGGTAATACGACAACGATGTATTTTCTCATTTAAGATAATTTTAGCTAAGTGTATGTAACATTTACGGATGTATAAAATGGCGCCATGCTCTTTATCACCCAAGAAATAGACGCCCTCGGATAGCTGAAAGAAATTATTATCAATTTTCGCATTATCCAAAATTTTCCAAAATTTTCCCAGATCTTTTTCAGTATAATCCCATAGACCGGTTTTCCTGCGCTTGTTAGTTAATTCTATATTGGAATAATTGTATGAAGCTCATATTAGAAAATTAAAATGACAGCAAAAAAAGCAGTGTAGATGTAGGTTTGGAATATTCGAATGAAGTCGTGGTACTTACTCTGTTCTACAATAACGTGAAAGTGTTTTTTGGGCGAGTTTGACGATAAGAAGCAGGAAAGAAAAGCACAAGAATAAGTAAGTATTCGATATTATGACAGAAAACGAGAGTTTAAGCAACATTAACTTATGTCTCAAGAAACGTACCAGGTGGGGAGATCAGAGACCTCAAATAATTACGCTTTTCTTCATCATTATCACAATCATCAAGGCAAGATACTGCAACAGCAATTTTTTCTACATTTTCGGTAAAGTGAGCGAGTAAACTTATTTTTTCATTTGAAACGAAGCCGAGGCGCTTTATTTCTCCTTTTAGAATTGAAAGTGGATCAGACATGTTTTTTGGTGCACAAGTTGTACGGAACGTAGAAAAAAGAGAGATGGGGTAATATAAATCGAAACTGATCTGATTTATCGGTTGATCAGTTACGCAAATTACTTAATACAGGGGTTGTCTAAAGCCGTGTTCGATCACGTGATCAACAGATCGGCGGTGTCACGTCGGAAGATCGGCTGTGATCCGAATAAGTCACGTGGTCACGTGAATAAAAATTTGGTGTTCTAATATTAAACTATTAAACGATAAATATTGTTATGTATTATATAGTGTTCTAATTTTAAAGATTAAATATTGTAACATAAAATGTTATTTTTTATTAGCATATATAATAAAAAAATTTTATTATCAGTATTACATTTGATTATTTAGAAAAGGTTCTAAACTATTTTTCAGTTTTCTAATAAATGAGTTAGTTTGATTTGTGTCGCCTTTCTCTTCAACTCTCCAATATATATCACGCGTCCTTTCTATTAGTTCACTTACGGCTAACCATCGATTCTCCAATGCTTTCTCAGCTTCGGTTATCCTAGGTACTTCTAACTCAACTAGTTCGTGATATATATATACATCAAATCCAATCTCATCAAACATTTGTTGAAATTTTTCTCACACATCAGATGTTAATAGCTTTATAGTACCATACATATTTTATGGAATACATGATAGCAAGGTAGTAAATACTGATGAAAAAATAAGCAGTAATAATGTAAAGACGTAAGATCCAGTGCTGGCTTGCCTTTCTCTATTCATCCTTCAACAGCACAAATCTCACCAATAAGCATTTGTTGGATTAGAAACGGGAATTTATAAATTTTACAAAGGATCTCATCATCAATACCAATAGCTAAAATCCTTTTTTAGTTCAAAATTCATAAGCAACACGTTCTAAATCGGAGTGTTTTTTTTCATCAAGTGCAACTATCTTATAGCAGGCACCTGATAATATTAAATTAGATTAGATAAAGCTATCTTATAAAAAATTATAATATAAAAAAATAAATATCAATTAAACCATGTTGTGGGAAAGAGGTTCTCTTTAATTCACTGTAATATGATTCTAAGGCATTTATTGAAGTTACTTGCAAAAGAAGAGGAGAATACTGTCGTGCTTAAAACCCCCATTGATGCATATTTCTTGTGTAATTCCTTGAGATGTATTGTTTAATGGTCAGATTTGGACATTCATTGATCGCTTGTTGAACTAAATTCTCATATCCAATCTTAGTCCTTTTGTGCATAGCTTAGATCATTTTTTGTCGTATCTTCTTATCGTAAATTCTTCTCATCCAAGTTCGCATGATATGCACTGTACAAAAAATAATATTGCACTCCTGTTCACCAACTTCAAGACCTGGAAAAGCCATTTTGATGCCATTGGATTCTATATTACTTTGGTCAGAGAGAAAATATCTTGGACTCCAATGATTTGCAAATCATTTAATTATTTTTAAGCCCTCCGCAATAGTATGACTATCTTCATTGCTTACAAAGAAATGAGCCCTGACGTCTTAACATCCATAATTATTGTGAATATACAAAGTAAATAACTGACAATCATATTTATTGGTCTTGTATGTGGAATCTATGAGAGTCAACCAGCCATGTTGCTTGAGATTTTTGAGTTGATTTGGTTTTGCAAAAATAAAAGCGTAGGTTGACAAATAAGAAATTTCATAATACTTGACCAAATATTCTTGTTCTCTTAAGAAGGAAATGGCCTCTTGAATATCTACACTTCATTTGGAATTGCCGATAAGATGTACATCAAGAGATTTACGCACTTTATATTTTATGTTTATAACTTCCTTTAATTTCAACTCCTTTACGCTTTCTCCTAGATCCAGTTCTACAGTTGCATATTCTTTTACTGCATTAATGATTTCCGGTGGTCGATAATTTTTTAGGGCCTTTTGCACAACCAAATTTCGGATAGTTTGAGAATGCTTAATCTTTTCGCTTTCTTCCAGAGAGTGCATATGGTCAGGTGAGTCCTTAAATCATTCAATTTGTACTTTTTGTTTGGAAATGTAACGTTGAACTTTGATTTTGCAGAACACAAATCAGCTGGCTGAATTTTCGTTATACAGCGTTTCTCATATAGAACACTTCCCTTCTGAGTACTTGATTTATTATGCTTGTTAAATCGACAAATAAAGACCTTTTATGAATCACCATTAACATTGTTTTTAAAACTATACCCAACCCATACATTCGACACAAGAGGCCACCAATTTTTATCAAATTCTTTCATTAAAAGTTCAAGTGGTTGTTCGATATTGAAAAGGCAGATTCATTTTTGGTTAGGAGTTAAGGCTACGGAGGTAGGTATGTTTATAATATTAGAAGCAAATGGTGTGATCATTGATTATTTGCAATAGATATTAAAGTGGGGAAA